GAGCGTTTCGGAGCCTCCGATCGAGATCCGATGGTTCCGGTCGGAGGGGGGTTTAGGTGGGCTGTGAAGAGGAGTTGGGCTGAGAGGAGAGAAGAGAAGTTGCAGCCCGGCGATAGTTTCGGAGACCGAAACGTCCGACGAAGGTACCGGCAGCGGTACCACTATATGTTTAACGGTTGGGCTATCAAACGGACTCGGAATGCAACGAAATTTGACAGGCGGTCTAACTACACTATAATAAAACCACACGCCAACTTTCATCCCATTCCGGGAACATTTTTATGTCACTTATAAAATAATATTTCGGAGGTGCACCGGGCGCGTGTGAGTGTGTCCGGACTCGGAATGGACAACGGAGAGAACCGGGGAAACCCGAACAGATGCAAGTTTTAAAAAACATGTAGATGAAATGCAGATGATGACATGAAAAATGCAACACACAAGAAAATGACATTGCAACGACAACGAATAACTGGAAGACACCTGGCGCATCGAATCCGGGGCATTACAGGGAGACTCTCTTCTTTGATTTGCACAAAATTATACATTTTCCGCAAGGGAGCTTGTTTCTTATGAGCAGGAAAATATTTAGCAGAGAAGTAATAAATCATATCCCAGGGACTACGCACACAACCAGGATCAAGAGAATTAAACCAAGTCTTAGCATCACCCTTTAATGAGAACGGAAATATCTTAAGGATATAATAATAGCGAGACTTCTCATCACGAGTAAACAGGGTGGCTATATCATTCAACTTGGTAAGATGTGCCACAACAGTTTCAGATTCAAGGCCATAAAAAGGATCAGATTCAACCAAAGTAATAATCTCAGGATCGACAAAGAATTCATAATCCTTATCAGTAACACAGATAGGTGAACTAGCAAAAGCAGGGTCATGTTTCATTCTAGCATTAAGAGATTGCTGCTTCCATTTAGCTAATAACTTCTTAAGATCATATCTATCTTTACAAGCAAAGATAGCTCTAGCAGCTTCCTCATTCATAACATAACCCTCAGGAACAATCGTTAATTCATAATCAGGGGGAGAACTTTCATCATCACTATCATCAATAATAACATCTTCAATAATTTCATTCTCTCTAACCCTAGCAAGTTGTTCATCAAAAAATTCACCTAATGGCACAGTAGTATCACGCACAGAAGTAGTTTCATCATAAGTATCATGCATAGCAAAAGTGGCATCATCAATAACATGCGACATATCATAATTCATGGCAGTAGCAGGTTTAGGTGTCGCAAGCTTACTAATAACAGAAGGAGAATCTAGTGCAGAGCTAGATGGCAGTTCCTTACCTCCCCTCATACTTGAGGGCAAAATCTTAGTTCTTTCGTCTTTCAAGTTCCTCATAGTGATCAACAGATATAAATCCCAAGTGACTCAAAGAATAGAGCTATGCTCCCTGGCAATGACGCCAGAAATTAGTCTTGATAACCCACAAGTGTAGGGGATCGCAACAGCTTTCGAGGGTAGAGTATTCAACCCAAATTTATTGATTCGACACAAGGGGAGCCAAAGAATATTCTTAAGTATTAGCAGTTGAGTTGTCAATTCAACCACGCCTGGATAACTTAGTATCTGCTGCAAAGTATTTAGTAGCAAATTGGTATGATAGTAATGGTAACAGTGGCAAAAGTAAAAATAATAGTTTTGTAGTAATTGTAACAGTAGCAACGGAAAAGTAAATAAGCAAAACACAATATGTGAAAAGCTCATAGGCATTGGATCAATGATGGATAATTATGTCAGATGTGATTCCTCATGTAATAGCTATAACATAGGGCGACACAGAACTAGCTCCAGTTCATCAATGTAATGTAGGCATGTATTCTGAATATAGTCATACATGCTTATGGAAAAGAACTTGCATGACATCTTTTATCCTACCCTCCCGTGGCAGCGCAGTCCTAGTGGAAACTAAGGGATATTAAGGCCTCCTTTTAATAGAGAACTGAAACAAAGCATTAGCACATAGTGAATACATGAACTCCTCAAACTATGGTCATCACCGAGAAGTATCCCGATTATTGTCACTTTGGGGTTGTCGGATCATAACACATAATAAGTAACTATAGACTTGCAAGATAGGATCAAGAACACACATATATTCATGAAAACATAATAGGTTCAGATCTGAAATCATGGCACTCGGGCCCTAGTGACAAGCATTAAGCATAGCAAAGTCATAGCAATATCAATCTCAGAACATAGTGGATACTAGGGATCAAACCCTAACAAAACTAACTTGATTACATGGTAAATCTCATCCAACCCATCACCGTCTAGCTAGCCTACGATGGAATTACTCACGCACGACGGTGAGCATCATGAAATTGGTGATGGAGGATGGTTGATGATGACGCCGGTGACGAATCCCCCTCTCCGGAGCCCTGAACGGACTCCAGATCATCCCTCCCGAGAGAGATTAGGGCTTGGCGGCAGCTCCATATCGTAAAACGCGATGAAACTTTCTTTCTGTTTTTTTCTCCGTGAAATGGAATATATGGAGTTGGAGTTGAGGTCGGTGGAGCGTCAGGGGGCCCACGAGACAGGGGGGCACGCCCAGGGGGGAGGGCGCGCCCCCCACCCTCGTGGACAGGGTGTGGGCCCCCTGGCCTTGATTCTTTCGCTAGTACTTTTTATATTTTCCAAAAATTGTACCAACACTCCCTCGGTCTTAACTTCTAAGTTCTCGATCCCTAACCCACCTTGGTCTTTGGGCTTGCAAATGATATCCATCTGGCCAATTTGTATTTCGTCTTAACCTCATCAGATTGCCAGAAAAAACATGATCGATAGAAGTCTAATCTTTTCCATACACCTACTGGTACTTCAAAGAAGGATAGAAGGAACATCGGCTAACTAGTTAGAACTGAGTTTATCAATACAAGCTGACCCCATGGGACAAAAGCTTTCCTTTCCAGCAACTTAGCCTTTTTTTCAATTGAGACCGACTTGGTTATTTAGATTGTCAGTTGAGACCGAGGGACTGTTGGTACAATTTTTGCGTAATAAGTACATGCAATCTAAGACTTGGTCCCAAGTTACCACTAGACCTAATGGCTCGCCGCTTTGGAAGGGGTTAACGAGGATGAAACAAACCTTTTCCATAGGGTGAAATTTATCATTGGTAACGGTAACATGACTAGATTCTGGAAAGATGCATGGTTAGGGGAGACGCCCTTAGCCTTACAGTGTCCATTATAATATTGTACAACGCAAGGAAGCCTATGTTGCTACAGTATTACAATCAGTCCCCCTTAATATCCAATTCAGGAGGTCTCTGGTGAGGGAATGTTGGAACTCCTGGCTGCAATTGGTCCGCGGGTGGATGGATGTTTACCTTTCAGACCAACCAGATGTCATTTACTGAAAATTATCTAGGAAGGGTAGTTTCTCAGTGAAATCTATGTACTTGGTCCTAATTGACGTTGGACCAATCCCAAGGTCTCTCCATATCTGGGAGATTAAAGTTTCGCTTAGAATTAAAATCTTCATGTGGTTTGTCCACAAGGGAGTGATATTAACAAAGGATAACTTGGTAAAGCGAAGATGGGTCGATAATTCCCGATGTTGTTTTTGCGACCATGATGAAACAATTCAACACCTCTTTCCAGATTGTCTGTTAGCCAAACTTCTTTGGCGTATGGTACATATAGCCTTCAACGTTAATCCTCCAATTAGCATCAACATGTTTTTTGGGATGTGGCTAAATGAAGTGGGATCAAATATTGTGGGACATATTTGAATAGGGATATGTGCGCTCTTTTGGATTATATGGAACTGTAGAAATGATATGATCTTTAACGGGAAAAAATTTAACAACTTTTTACACGTTATCTATAGAGCCACTGCTTGGATCCCTACATGGTTGTTACTCACTTATGCGGACTCCAGTGAGCTTTTGGTTACTGGGTGCAACCGGTGGGAGACGGTAGCACGGGGTATCTTCAATCGATTTAAATGTGAGCTAATAATAGGCTAGGTGTTTAGTCATCGTAGCCTGTTTTTTGCCGGTTGTGGCATCATTTTTTTGCATCTTCTTCTTTGTGGGCTCTGCTTGTGTGACAGTACTAGACCCGAGGTCTTTTCTTCGTATTTTTATTTAATATAAATTGGCTGCAGGCACTACTCTGATGGAAGCAGCGGCTTTCCTTCTTTAAAGATAAATAAAAATATATTAGTATTAAAAACACACAGTTGGTGCTGCTCAATAACATAGCCGGTGTACAGTACCGGGCTGGAGATTAACATACATGATGGTCCGAAGCTCCGTCGTCGTGTGCTACACAAAGGGTCAAGAAAATCATCAGTAAGTCTACTTATTTTTGTACTTCTATATAATTTACTTGTTTCGTGGTTTAGCGACGCGTTTCAGCGCTTTGCCAGTTGGGGTCAGAACGTGCTTGCACGTATACGAAGTGTTTTTTTCAGTCAATAAGATAAGAACCCATTTGTTTGCAAGACCAAACACGAGGTACACAATAATTCCGCAAAAACTCACTCGAGAAAATCTCTTACTGTGATGATCCAATACATCGCGGTTGCGCTTTCTGTCGTGAACCGCATGGGGGAATGGATCGAGGCCGCCCGTTAAAAAAAGGCGAGGAGGCAGAGAAGCGGCGCATGCGCACACATGGGGATGGCATTTTTGCCACCCTCGTGTTGCGGTTTGGTTCCAGATCCAGTGACAGTGCTCGTCACAAGACAAAAGCTCGCTGCGCCTGCCTCCAGGCCCAGCTCACCGGTAAGGAATATCTTAAGCATACAATCACAAGCTGCGTCCGTCCAGTTGCAGTCGCCACCCACCACCACTAGAGCTATCACCGCATCAACGAGGCAGAGGACAAAAAAGAATCAGCACTTGCTTGGCTTTCCAGCTAGTAATTCAGCTTGCGGTCCGGTTACTGGCTCCCAGGTGATACAGATCGTGCTACCACCGCTAGGCCTTCCAGGGCGTCGGTGGATCGGCTAGCAGCAATGGCGCGCGCGTTCGGCGTCGGCGCTGCGATGCTCGTCGTCGTGTCGGCCTTCTTCGCGCCGGCGGTGACGGCGCAGACCGGCAGCTGCGACGACCCGCTGCCGACCGAGCTCGTCGGCAACTACTCCGGGATGGCCTGCAGCCCCGTCTGGAACAACTTCGTGCTCCGGGTAAGTGCCACTGCCGCCGCGAGCCACTAGGCCGTAGATCCGGGTGATCTTGAGGGGGACCGGGAGCGTTCTTGATTGCCTCTCACCGAACCGATTCTGCTGTCTCCTCCAGTACGCGCAGGACGGGGACAACGTGCTGCGGGTGGTGCTCTCCGCGATGTACAGCTCCGGGTGGGTGGGGATGGCGTTCTCCAAGGACGGCCTGATGGTGGGCTCGAGCGCCATGGTCGGGTGGGTCGGCAAGAAGGGGCAAGCCCACGTCAAGCAGTTTGCCCTTAACGGCAAGGCGCCCTCCATGGTCGTCGCCGACAGGGGCTTCCTCGTCTCCAACGGCCACGCCCACACAGTCCTTGTCAAGCAGGCCAAGATCTACCTCGCCTTCCAGCTCAACTTCGACTCGCAGCTCAAGAAGCAGCAGGTGCTCTTCGCCTTCGGCTCTGCCATCCCTGTCAACGACCGCCTAGCCGAGCACCAGGGCAAGACGTCCATGACCTTTGATTTCACCACAGGTGAGTTGGGTTCCTTCGCGTCTGCTAACCATCTAATGCAAACTTTAACTTACCGAATGGAAATATAAATAGATTTCACTTTGTCACCTCGTGCATGATTAATGCACATCTCATTACATGTATGTTTGAAATTGTTTTTTTTTCTGCGACTAATATGTTTGAAAACTGTTGCCTCAGTAAATTTAATCAGCTAAGAGCTTTTGTTGTCTAGTACTCCTACCTGACAAAAAGTTGCCTCAGATCAGTGTGATCTATCTGTGATGATCGAATCAGATACCATATCTTTGACAAATCAATTGAGGAGGGCATTTTAACCATTAGTGCAGTGACGAATCAGTCACCAAGTCATTATTTTCTTGAAAACAATTTGGCACTTGTTTGCAGGCAGCTCTTCAGGCTCCTCCTTCCCGAGTGGCCTAAAAAGGACTCATGGGGCACTCAACCTGTTCGCTTGGGGTGTCCTCCTGCCTATCGGTGCCATTATCGCTCGGCACTGCAGGGGTTGGGACCCTCTGTGGTTCTACCTTCATGGCGGCATTCAGTTCGTCGGCTTCATCCTCGGTCTGGCCGGCGTTGTGGCTGGAGTATCACTGTACGGCAAGATCCAAGCAGATGTTCCAGCACATAGAGGCCTTGGCATATTTGTGCTTGTGCTTGGTATCCTCCAGGTATGTGATAAATAAATAACCTGCTCTAAGAACTAATGTCATGGACAATCTGGTCAGTAAAATCTTGTCAACTGAAGGCATTATATATGAATCTGAATATATGTGTAACTTCGCAGATTCTAGCGTTCTTCCTAAGGCCCAACAAAGACTCGAAGTACCGGAAATACTGGAACTGGTATCACCATTGGGTAGGCAGGCTTGTGCTCTTCTTTGCAGCAGTTAACATTGTCTTGGGGATCAAAGTTGGAGGCGCGGGTAACTCGTGGAAGATCGGCTATGGTTTCAACCTGGCCATCCTTCTCATCACCATTATCACCCTGGAAGTCCTAGTGTGGACAAGGTGGAAAAACAACAGCGGTCCTACGACGACATACTGACTATGCTTGACTAGGGTTCTTGTTCTGTGAGCTGCTGAAGGCCCTATTATTTTCATTCGTTTTCTTCTTCTTATGCTGTTGTTGTAAGCATGTAATCTATTCTGCAGAATCTTTTAGCAAGGATCTGCGAGACTAGTCTATCGGTGATGTGTTTTGGATTTGAAATGTGTAGAGTGTTTGAATGTACTACTCCAATGTTGTTTCTTCCAATGCGTGACGAAGAGTGAACAGTGGTATTTTCCTTGTTCAGCTAATTTAGGGGCATGTCTCGCGTTAGGCGTGGGCATTAAAACCAACGAACTGAAGACCGAACCGACATTGGAACCGAAAAAAAAATGAAATTCCGTTTTTTTGTTTTTAGATCTACTAACCAGTGTTATTTCGGCCAGTTTGGTTTTTCTCACCTGATTTTATTTCCGTCCGTTCGGTTTTTTATGGTTAACGGGAAACCGAGTATGGCTGAGATGCAACTAACGAACTACCCAAAGTCAGCAAAAGGTGAGCCAATTGAGATTCAAAAATCCAACCTCCAGATTTTTCTCCACCTTCTGTAACCAACCATAACACATTGCACACCTTGTCTATTTCTTCTTGTTGTTCTGGTCTCACATGTAATGTTAAAAAAAGACAGCATTTTTTAGAATCTGGTTTTCCTTTCTCCCCTTTTTAAAATTGTGACCATTTTTTGAAAACATGTGATTTTTTTTCAAATTCGCAAACTTTTTTCAAAACATGTGAACTTTTTTCAAATTCGTGAACCTTTTTTCGAATGCATGAACTTCTTTCAAATGCATGAACATATTTCAGATCCTCAAACTTTTCCAAGTTTTCTAAAATAACAAATTTAGTAAACTCCTTCTCAAATTCATGAATGTTTCTTCCTAATCGATGAACATTTTTCAAAAATGATGATTTTTTTCAAATTAGTGATTTTTCTTTCGAAATTATGAACATTTTGGAACTCATGAAATTTTTTAAATCATGAATATTTTCAAAATTTGGAACTTTTCCAAATTCTTGAAAATATTTAAATTCATGATTTTTTTTGGAAATTCATGATCCTTTTTCCAAATTCATATACTTTGTTCAAATTCACATTTTCTTTTTCTAATTGATGAACATTTTTTCAAACCCGCGTTTTTTAAAATTGATAAAAAAGTTCCAAGTTCATGAACTTTTCATATTAATACGGAACTGAAACCTTTTAAAAAAACAGCAGGTTTATTTCACATGTGCTAGTATTGAAAAAAAAACTCGCAAACAAACCCACCTAGTGAAGCACTGCCTTGAGCGATCGAAAAAACAGCGGTGGAGCGAGCTATAGGCCACGACCCTCTAGACCGTTTATCAGGTGCTGAAGGCGCCAACGAGGCGCTCGCGCTGCGGGCACGCATACGAACTCGATCC